AAAAAACCTGTAATTCTCTTTGTTCTAAATGTATTTATGTCAGCTATAAGATAGGATATATATGCTTGTCTCACTACATGTGTTGTTAAATTATTTGTTCTCATTCTAATAGTGCATAGAAAATAATGCAGGCCCAAGGCTGAAATAGACATGTAAAAATATTCATTGGATTGGTTTTGATATGTGCAAATGTGGCTGTTATTCAAGTGCATACTGGTCCAAATCCAATTTTAGAATACATATACACATCTATAAATCACTATTTACTTGCTAAAATTCATCAAAATCTGCAAAAAAAAGTTTTAATTTATGTCAAATAACTTTTTTTTCCTTTCAGTTAGTGCAAGTAGAATATGTATTGTAGCAGAAGACCATATGTTCTATAGTGGTGTCCAGCATCACAAATGCCAGTCTTCAGCCAATTCAATTCACTCCATGTGATATCAAGATTGGAGGCATCGCATACTGCAAAGTCTATGGGTCCTGATAACATTCCGCCAACAGTACTGAAGTCTTGTACTCCAGAACTTGCTGCTCTCCTGGCCAAGCTGTTCCGTACAGCTACATCACTGACATCTACCCGGCAATGTGGAAAATTGCCCAGATATGTCCTGTGCGTAATAAAGCAGGACAAATCCAACCTGGCCAATTACTGCCCTTTCAGTCTACTCTTAGTAGAATGTGATGGAAGGTGTCATCAACAGTGCTATCAAGCAGCACCTGCTCAGCAATAACCTGCTCAGTGATGCTCAGTTTGTGTTGTACCTGGACCACTCAGCTCCTGACCTCAGTACAGCCTTGTACCTCAGTACAACATGGACAAAAGAGTTGAATTCCAGAGTTGAGGTGAGAATGACAGCCTTTGACATGAAGTCTGCATTTGATTGAATGTGGCATCAAGGAATCCGAGCAAAACTAGAATCAGTGGAAATTGGGGGAAAACTCTCCACTGATTGGAGTCATACCTGGTACAAAGGAAGATGGTTGTGGTTGCTGGAGGTCAATCGTCTCAACTCCAGGATGTCTCTGCAGAAGTTCCTCAGGGTACTGTCCTTAGCCCAACCATCTTCAGCTTCTTCATCAACGACCTTCCCTCCATCATAAGGTCAGAAGTGGGAACGTTTGCTAATGATTACGCAATGTTCAGCACCATTTGCAATTCCTCAGATACTGAAGCAGTCCGTGTTCAAATGCAACAAGATCTGGACAATATCCAGGCTTGGGTTGACAAGTGATAAATAACAACATTCATGCCAGATAATGACTATCTTCAATAACAAACCATGTAACTACTACTCCTTGACGTTTAATGGTGTTACCATCAATGAACCCCTCCCAATATCAACATCCTGGACCAGAAACTCAACTGGACTCACAAGCTCAGATCAACGGTTAGGAATACTGCAGTAAGTAACTTGTCTACTGACTCCCAAAGCCTGTCCACCATCAATCACGAGTGTAATTCACTTCACTTCCCTAAATAATCGCAGCTCCAATATTCAAGAAGCTTGACACCATCCAGAACAAAGCAGCCAACCTTTTTTGCCACAAACATCTACTCTATCCACTAGCAACACTCAGTAGCAGCTGTGTGTACTACCTACAATGCAGAAATTTGCCAAAGATCCTTAGACAGCACCTTCCAAACCCACAACCACTTCCATCTAGAAGGACAAGGGCAGCAGATACATGGGAACGCCACCGCCTGCAAGTTCCTCTCCAAGCCACTCGCCATCCTGACTTGGCAATGTATCACTGTTCCTTCACTGCTGCTTAGTCAAAATGATGATTTTCCCTACTTAGCAGAATTGTTGGTCTACCTCCAGCACATGGACTGCAATGGTTCATGAATGCAGTTTACCACCACCTTCCAAAGGGCAAGAAGGGATGGGCAATAAATGCTGGCCCAGCCAGCTACACCCACGTCTACGAGTGAATTAAAAAAAACCCAATTTAAACCCTCAATGTCTTAGCTTGTCAAAACTCTTAATCAAGGTCAGATGTTATTTATAGTAAATACTCTTTTTACAGTATGTGAAAATATAGAGCCATTTTTACAAATTCACGAAACTGACTGAAGAATTGTCATATAACTTTGTACTAGTTCTTAAGCCCCTGAATCAATTACATCACTGATTTTTTTCGTACTGATTGTGTAAAAGTTCGTTTGAAATGGAGTATCAAAGTGTAATTTTTCATTGTTAATTCTATATTTATTTTGTTTAATTGTGTGCAAGTGGTAGGCAATTTTTTGTGCTCAATATAAATAGACAATGAAGGAAATAAAAAATGGATACAAAGGGCCCTCTTGTGGCACAGTGGTAATGTCCCTACCCCTGACCAAGAGGCCCAGTTTTAGGTCCGACCTGCTCCAGAGGTGTATAATAACATCTCTGGACAGATTGGTAAGAAAAATAACTAAAAAATTTTAAAAAAGACAGGTCCTCTTATTGCACAGTGGTAGTGTCCCTACCCCTGAACCAAGAGGACTGGATTCAAGTCCTGCCTACACCAGAGGTGTTTAATGACATCGCTGAACAAATCAATTAAAGAAATATGTTAAATAAAAGAATTAAAACTGTAAATAGAAAAAGAATTAAAAATAGACACACAGGCTCTCTTGTGGCGCAGTGGTAGTGACCCTACTCCTGGACTGGGAGGTCCAGGTTCAAGTCCCACCTGTTCTAGAGGTGTGTGATAACATCTCTGAACATGTTGGTTAGAAAAATAGGTTAAATTTAAAAAACAGACACAAGCGAATTGCCCTTGCTGGGCATTGCACACAGTGTGATTGGAAACTGGGTGATTTTAGATATGGCTGGTTAAAAAGTAGGATAAACAAAAACAAAGCTCTTGTGGTGCAGTGCTAGTGTCCTGACCTCTGAGCTAGGAGGCCCAGGTTCATGTCGCACTTGCTCCAGAGTTACGTCATAGCATTTCTGAACAGGTTGATCAGAAAATACCTTTAAATAGACACGAAGGCCTCTTGTGGTGTGGTCGTATCCTTGGTAGTGTTAGTATCTTCAGGTCAAAGTACAAGTCCCACCTGACTTGGTTTTGTGCCGTAACATGCCTGAACAGGTTGATTAAAATAGATGGAAAGGTTCTTGTGTTGCAGTGGTAGTGTCCCTGCTTCTGAACCAGGAGACCTAGGTTCAAGTCTCATCTACTGTAATACGTGTAATAACATCTCTGAATAGGGTGGTTCAAAAGTATTTATGAATAGAGACAGCCTAAAAGTTTGTTTGTGGGATATTTATAATACATAACTCTAAATAAATATTAAAGTACGTAAAACTCCAGTTTCATTGTTTACCAACTCGCTTTCTGAATTACAACATAGTGCAAGACAAAAAACTTTGACCTTGTCTTCTTTTGGCATTGTTTAGAACAAAGGAGCAGAGAATGTGTACCTAAAGACGAAGCTTGGGAGCAACAAAAAAGATCAGACAGCTACAATCCTAGTAGCCATTGTGAAAAATGTCAAATCATGTGTAAATTGTCAGATTGATTTTTCTCTGATCACATGGTTTAGATATCATGAAAGAAAAAAGTGGATATGTGGACATAGGTTATGTCTCCACTAAAGAGGAAAAGGAAAATGACCTCAGTGTTGTTGCTTCCTATCAGAAGTAGTTTGTGAGCTGGATGACTATGAATTAGATAGTGATGAGCATTTCAACCTTGTATTCTAAATCTAATTATTGACTGAAATTTACAAGAAAGATGAGCTGATAAATAGAGATAGGAAGAACTGCCGATCCTGAAGTCAGAGATAGAGATAACAATGTGGAGCAGGAGGAGCACAACGGGCCAGGCAGCATCAGAGGAGCTAGAAAGTTGACTTTTTGGGTCATTTCTGAAGAAGGGTCCCGACCCGAAATGTCAACTTTCCTGCTCCTCTGATGCTGCCTGGCCCGCTGTGCTGCTCCAGCTCTGCACTGTGTTATCTATGAACTGATAAATATCAATTTGTATGGTCAACCTTTGATAATTTTCAGAAAATGGATTGTTGTTCAGTGAAAGTATGTCTCAGGACTTCAACAGATTGTATAAAGAACTGACAAAATCCAATGTGGTGTTCCCTGGATTAGTATTGGTGTTTAAAATGCAGACAG